AATTTTTGCTGCATGCATGTTATGCGATATAGTTAACGGGATTTTAATTGCTTTTATCAGAAGACCGTTACCGAAAATTATCATTGTTTTAATGGATATCGAAATGTTTGGATGCAATTACACCTGATTTAAATTATCTCATCGTCATTTATACCTTTTTATTTTATCCGTAAATGAATCAAAAAAAAAAGCTTGTTTTGGAAAAAGAACGAAGTGTAGATTATCTAGAGAAAGTAACTGAACCAACTTGATGCAGGAGGACGTTATTCAGTTTGTCTTATGAATACTCTGGAGAAAATTAATTTTTATATGCCCACATTGAAATGTGGTTGTATATTGTCGTCGCCCCCGTCTGTCCGGCTCTAGAGGCTAAAGTTAATATCCAATTGACTTTAAATTTATACACAGTGTTTAAGGTCATGAGACGAAGAAGCCTATAGATTTTCAGTGATTTCCGATAATTACTGCCAGAGTTATGGCCCTTGGTCACTTTGAAAAATCTTCTGGATGCTCAAGAGACAGGGGTTGAAATGTTTGTAAAATTTTACTTGTCTCAGGTGACAAGTAGAAATATTTCGAGTTGTCACCATTGATTTTCATTTTTAATAATAAAAAAAATAATAATAAATAAACTTATTGTATTTCAATTTCATTTGTAAGAGATGCTTACAATCAAACTCCGCATTCACTTTAGCACATTTTGGTGGAAGTAATGAAACAAATGACAACAATTTTCTCTTCGCTATTCAGACTCGTTCGTTGTCCGCACGTTTCCGACCCATGGTGGTAATATAATTTGAAATAATACGGTATGCAATCAGGCATGCTTGTATAATTTACATTCCAAATGAACCACAGTAAACGGAATTCAACAATCAAAATATTTAATTCTCTTCGGAAAGAATTGTCTAATATATTTTATTTTATTTTTTAAGACAAAACGAAACATCAAATGATAGGCTTATATATATATATATATATATATATATATATATATATATATATATATATATATATATAATTGCTGTATGCTGTCTGTTCACCACGTGGTTGTGATTGGCATTCAATTTTAAGATTTTTTACTGCCATATGAACCCCAAAACATTATCGCTAGAATTAAATTTTAATCACAACTTCCATTTTAATATTGTAAATCGCCAATTTGACAACCTACAGCTGAGCCCTGATTGCCATGGAGTTATGTAATATTGACGGTGATTGGGTGATTAAAAAGGAATAGCCAATGGCATTACGGCTTTCTCAGAATCAGTTGTGTTACTATTTTAATGCAAAGAAACCTTTTCCAGACGTATAGAGCGAACTTAAAAGGACCATATAAGTTTCAGTCTTGTTAATCGGGGAGAAATTCACCACCACACTACTATGGAGACAAACGGACAGCTTGTCGTGTGCTGTTAAATAATGTCTAATTTGTTTTAAAATGAAAAGTTCACCCTCTTCCAATTTTATTGGAATGGATAAATTAGACATACATTTTTAGCCTGAATTTTTATAGATATTATTCTAGTTGTTGCCGGTGACAAGTAGATTTTTTTTCTACTTGTCCATTGAATTAGCCAGGTTCTTGCAGCAGATTTCCTCTTGATCTTCCAAAATGGTTGTCCATTATCAATGGTCTCGGGCGTTAAACCACAAATACAGTCCTAGATTAAAATTTTGTAGAGTCCTGGGCTACAGGTAGTGTGTGGTCCCCAGAACAACAGTCAGGCCCAAGCAAGGAATGGGGGTTACAGCTGTCACATCACTCTGAGGCCCAGTTGTCTTGCTCTGGCGCATAAAAATTCTCAAGGTGGCCCTTACAACAGTTAGTTTTCTGAATCCAGAAAAGTTTTTACTTTATGTTTTACTTTCTAAAATGGTACACTAAACGAAATTGTCTTAATCTGGTCCAGCCCCCTTTTCATTCAATCCTTACATTTAAAGATGCATAATGTAACATTTAGATAAAGAGCTGGCCGTTCTTGCTATAATAGTTATCAAATAGATAATGAAAAATGAATATATTAAAAGTTTCATTCAAACTACTTTATATTCTGAGCGAAGCGTTCATTATCATAGCAAGGGTACTTGATAACCCAAACTTAACCTTGATTGTCTATTTTCTCGTTGAATTTTTAAGTCTATTTTCTCGTTGAATTTTTAAATCTCGCGAATGTTTAAATCTATTTAAATCACGGGCATCCGATGATCTAGATAGTTGATGATAGGTCTACCTTGTAAATAATAATTTATATAACATATGAAGCCAAGAGAAAGACCTGTAATAGACAGATTTGACTCTTACCTAAAGCATCTTTAATGGGGAAAGAAAACCGTAAGATTCAACTTGAAACAGAATATACCACACCTCAATACGTCGCTCGGAAGTAGCTTATTTTAAAGTGAACGGTCCGATAATCAAAATCCATTTACATCTTACACGACTGAGTGAAAATATTAGAATGATTTATTGACTGGCATTATCTTGTCGATATCTCACTAATTACAAAGCTTAATGAAGATAAAAATAGTCCCAAAGTGAAACCAATATTTTACTCAGCTTGCATGAAAATTCTGATCCCCTACCATCCTTGATTAACGTTAGTACTTGTATTTCCTTCCGAATCAATAAGAAATCAGTCTCTCGTTCAGTCAGCTACAAAATATTTGTGGTTACGAGTTCTTGATAAGAAATCTGTCATTCGGCAAAAAACCCCAGCCTATCCGTTCATCAAATGGTAGACATATTGAACGATTCGATAGGTTTATTTGGTTACAAGAGATAACAATCCGAGAATCCAAAGATCTATTAGTTAGCCCAACACGTCTGTCAAATATTGAATAATGAAATCTGTTAAAAAGCCGACGTGTTACGTTTTTAAGTTAATTAACAGACGTCTATAAGACCCTGTTTCTAAGTTGTGAAGTGTAATTAACTAAAAATAAAATATCTAATTAAATGATGACAATAAAACTCTATGAAGTAGCTACATTCTTGGAGCACTACAAAAGGAAATGAAAACATCCTACGATTCTTCACATACTAGGCTATGAAGACGGGACATACACCAATGCTAGGACGATAAACCCATTTCATTTCATTCCTCTGAATATATACTGCACTCATTCCTAAAAATTCATTTGATAATTTTACCCAGGCCCTGAGTTCACAAAGCATTCTCAGAAACAATGTGCAAAATTTGGTGTCTCTGAATCAAAGATGTGTCTCATAAACAGTGGTTGAAAGTGGAGTAAATTCTTAACTTAAGAGAATTGCATTGTGAACTCGGGCCAGATCATTTTGCTCAGAAAACATCTATTTGGGTGAGCAAGATTAAGTTTGCAATGGGCCCCTGGCTGAAAAATTCACCAGGGGCCTCTCATGAACAGTGAAAAGGCATTTTAGATGTCAGTATGATAGATAAATTTATGGTACAAAAATTTATTTTTAAGTAATTTGGGGACCTAGTCAACATGTACTAGGATACAGTGGGTTGGATTACACTATAAGTAACCTTATACCGTTAACTAATGAAGCTAGGCCTTTTAGTAATAACAATAATGACAATACTTGTTGTTAAATCAAATAACTGGTCAGTATATATGCTAAACTAATGTTTAGTATGTATAGAAAGTGGTTAGAAATTATACAGTTGTCATTAATTAGCAGGTGTGTAACCAGGGGCGGATCTAGAGGGGGGGGTTTGGGGGGTCGAACCCCCCCCCCCCCCCCCCCTGCTCAGCTACATTTTTTTTTTTTTTTTTTTTTTTGTAAATTAACAATTTTTATGAGAAAAGTTTCTCGGCCATGTGCTGTATCCTTTATCGTCAGATGTGGGACAGGATGGGCACTCAAAGCACGAGATAATGATATAGACATTATGTGATATCACAATTAATGCTTTGCATCCATGAAATTGAATCACAATGTCATTGTATTAATTCATAATAAAAATTGACGTAAAACGAGGTGTTGAATTTCTCAGTTTAAAAAGCTCAATGTGTATGTATATACGCCAAAATGACGATAGAGACCATGCGGGAGGGGAGAGATATATTGTCTCCGGAACCTGGCAAACCCCCTCCTGCAAAAATTCCTGGATCCGCCCCTGGTAACTAGCTGTAAAAGATGTCACTAGTGTAAAAGCATGACTATTTATAACACCAATCACTATTGAATACACAGACCTGGACAATAGTGGTGTGTATCATTCAATAGTCACAGTTTTAACACCTTAGTGACAAAACACCCAGTTAATGACTTCTGTCTGATTACTAACAATTTTAACTAACTGATACACATTATATATATAAACTGATGACTTTGATCTATTTTCATTTAGAACAGTTATTTGTTGATTAGGTGTTAATTGATTATGTATTTATGTGTACCCCTTTCAAATTATTCCTCTTTCAGTAGGAGGTTCCGGGTTCAATCCTGGTGTTGGCAAAGAAAGTTCCTTGTTTGTGATGCAGACAAAAGGGTTTGGGAAGGAACAAAGTCTAGTCATTCAGATGGGACAAAAAAACCATGGTGTAATGTGGGCTTAAAAAAAAGAATCCTTAGAATTTGTTGACAACTGAATGGAAATTCCGCTGTCTGGACAAAATTTGCCTCGTAGCACACTGCATGACATATACCTGTCTTCATAAACATGTGGGAAGTCATGGTGGCCCACGACGTCGGCTCGCTAACCGGGAGGTCCCATGTTCGATCCCTATATTGGCCGAGAAAGTTCATCAGGATTTTCCGGCGTGGTTCCTCCTTGTCAGTAGTGCGGACAGAGTGCCTGGCAAGGGACAGCGGATAGTCATTCGAATGGGACAAAAAACCAAGGTCCTGCGTGCATGTAAAAGTTCCTCTGACAGTTGAAATTCGATATAAGAATAGGCTGTAGCGCCACTGTCTTGGCAAAATTGCCTCATATCACACTGTATGGTGTATTCCTGTCTCCCTTAGCCCAGTCGTGGCATGCAGAACAGTAAAACATCCAACCACATTTCATTTCACTGAATTTAATGACACACATTAATCCGAGACGTATTAGAACACATTTAAACATACAATACTTGTAGATTGTCAGATCCCGAGTAGTTAAATGTCACGATTAAAAACCCACACAACCAAACGTCAGCTCACTAATAATCATTTTAAAATCAATATTCGACAAATAATTAAATGTTAAATCAGAAATTAAATCTAAAGTTTGGTATTTAGATCAGGTTGGCCATTTTTTTCTTCCTTCAAATGGTAGTCTGCCACGACTTCTGACATTTCAGCTCCGCGTTTCTCTAATGCCACGTCTGATTCCAGAGCATTGTTGTCATACACATGTTCCATCTTGCTTGATTGCCAGATATATCCTGGATGTGCCTTACGCCATTCATCCATGCTGTCTTGACCTTTGGCTTGTTGCAGATGGCAGAAAAAACACAAGATGGATGCAAATGCAAACATAATAGACGCTGCGATGGCACCGGTGATTGCATATGATTGATATTTTTCCAAGAGATCTCCGTAATAAGGTCCATCGATATTGATACCTTTTTTTAATGCAAAAATTGTTCCGTCTGGTGATTTCACGACACAGACATAGATACCAAAATCTTCATCATCAAGTTTTTCAATGTCCAAAAGGTTTCCAAAGTTTGCGAAATGATAGCGGCCATAAACTGTTTTGGTCGAGTTGATTTTGACCAAGTATCCGTCGGGTAATATCCACATTATCTCTGAGGAATTATTGAAAATGGACGTCTCATTATAACCACATGGTAGTTGGACGTGCTCATAATAAGATACCTTGATGCTCCAGTCATTTGAAGACTGAACTTGGCAGAAACACAAGGTCAAGGTCAAGATGGTCGTTAACTGGATCTTCATTTTAACTGAAACAAAAAAAAATGAGATCTATAAATGAAATGAAATGAAATGTGGTTTAATGTCCTACTGTTCAGCTCCAACTGGGCTAATGAAGATTGGATTAAACCATGAAGTTTGCTATGAGGGAAATTATGCCCGAATAATGGCGCTATGGCCTACTCTTTTTTGTTCTATGGTTTCTGAACATCCATTCATTTACATGGTGAATCTTATATGTCTAAAAAATAAACAATTTTTTGTAAAAAGATACAAATTTGTGCAAAAAAAAAAGAAGCATTTTGAATGTTGGTTTTTGTAATAATTGACAAATTCAAGATATTCTAGGTTCTTCTAAAATGTTTGGGAACGTAGTTGAATGATTTTGGTCTCTTTAAAGTTTAAAACTTGAGACATTTTTCTCTATCAAGGTTCTGTTGTAGATATTGGTGCCATAGTTTGACCTTGCAAAATTATAAACAAATACTGGACATATATACTAGGAATTGTCCTTCTGCTCTGCGGATACCATCCCCAACAGCAACAAATCTGACAGGGCCAAATCTATTACGTCATATGTTTAAGAAAAAAAACCGGTCTTTCCAGGCTATATATATGCTGGGATTGTTTCTTCTGCTGGTACCATTTCCAACAGCAACAACTCATTTAAAAAAATGTTGGGAAGAATCCATTTAAAAAATACATTTTCTCAAGAAAGAAACTCACCATGTCTTGGGCTTGGGCTTGTCAAAGCACATACCCAACAGCAACAAATCTGATAAGGCAAAATCTATAACGGTATGTCAAAAAATAAAAGAAAAAAAAATCCTTGCCCTGCTATGACAGTCTTCTTAGAAGTAAAAACCAGGTAAAAGGCACCTGTTCAACTCACCTGATCCTCCTGTGGCTGTACTCTTCTATAAATGATATTTTATGATGATGTTTTATCAGGTAAGATTATATATGTATGTTTAGTCATGTCTTCAGTATCAGGATCATTTCACTATGTCACTAGTCATTTACATATCATGTACTATAATATATTCTCTTCTTATAGTTATCTTCAGTTGGGGTGAGGAGCGGTGTCTCTTCTTCGTTATCTTAGGTAATCAACTCATTAGATATTTATGAGAACGCAGCCAATTAAAACACAGATTAATTTAATTCTTAGGTCATGGTCACACCAATTTGAATATTTTGTTTCTCATTTTTTCTGGAAATCAGAAAGTTGTGCGAACAAATATGAATTGAAACCATACAAATGGGTCCCAGAGAGGTGGGATGGAACATATATTAAAAATTTTGTTTCTTATTTCATCAGAAAACCAAAAATTAAAACAGATTAATTTTATTCTTAAGCCACACCAATTTGATTTTATCAGGGAAGAATGTAGTTCCTTTAGGAACTGTCTCTGATCGGTCTATGTTCGCTGACAGTTCCTACCACTTCCTATATAGCTGCAATATCCCCACCTCTGGTCTAATGCTATTTTTGAATCCTTGTCGACTATTTTTCACCCAGATTCTTCTTTGCTTGCCAAAGGAATCATTTCTTGCCACAGCTGACACACATTTATAATAATTCATCACTATTTTCAAGCAGAATTATGCGATAATAAACCTACACAAAATACTTTAGAATTGATCAGACATTACGAGACTTGAACATGTGCAGACCGCATGTTTATTTAATCGCTAAATTCTACTTGAAAATAGTGTTGAATTATTATAAAATTGTGTCAAATATGATGAGAAATGATTCCTTTTGCGAAGAATAAACATTCACGGTGAAAATAGAAGATAAGAGTTCCAAAATAGCCTAAAAACAGAGGTGGGGAAGAGCGGTATTTTACCGTATTTTCATATTGCAGCTATATAGCAAGCGGTAGGAGCAGACATAGTTTGCACAGAGACTGTGGGAGGACACCTATCAAATTCTGCTTTTAATTTGTACTAGAATTTGTATTATAAAAAAATAATTGTTTCATATTACATCAGAAAACCATAAAACAAAGATTAATTTAATTTTTATAGGCCACGCCAAATTGAATTAATGAAGGGGGGGGGGGGGGTGGAAGGGATAGGGTCAGTAGGACACGTATTAAAATTTTGCTTCTCATTTCTATTTATGAGAACATATTCAAATAACAACAGAAAAAATGTAATTCTTAGGCCACAATAATTTAAGTGTTTCTTTAACAAATCAGAAATTTATGAGAATACATCCAAATAAACACTGCCAAATTTCAATTCAATTGGAAATATCTATTTTTTTTATATTTATTCACAGGAACTGGATTGGAGAACAATTAGAAGCCTATAGCCCCCCACCATACAAATATACTGGTCATGAAAAAATATGAAAGAAGTAAATTATAATCAATTTATTAGATCAATTATTACATCAATTAAATTAAAGATGGTACTTTTTGTTTCTTTGGGAAATTTTAATTTTTCAGTTTTGATGTTTAAAAGATTGGTTATTTTTTTACCGAGGCTCTGAAGAAAATAAAAATTAAATTTGTTTAGCCTTGTGTATTGTATAAATAAGAGATCAAACTACTTGTTTACCTACGTGAAGGTGTATATTGTAAAAATTTGATCCCGTGTACTGTTAAAGATCGTTCACCTATATCTTGAGTGGGTGAGTTGTCAAACACCTTTACATGTTATATAAGGTCTGTCATTGAATGAAGTGACATGGTTTCGATTCCAAGGTTGTATAGGTTTTGCCTGTTCAACCTTATGGGTTTTCTTTTGGTTCACTGGTTTAATTCCTCCCATTGCTAAATACTGAGATAAGATTTTGTCTCTCACTGAGATAATAATAATGTATGGAATTCATACCACTCTACCAGGTGTACCAAAGGGAATTTCCCACGACTGTGTCAATAAGAAGTATATTTATAAACTCGACTCGATATAAAAACAGGACTGGATTTACCTTTAAACAAAATATGCACATGCTTAGGGCATCAAGGTAAGAGGAGGCACCACACAAATTTGACAATTCCAGATTTACCATGGGTCACCATATGTTGCTAAATTACAAATGGCCTGGTTCACGAAAATCTCCTTTGTTGAGAAGTATATTAAAAATACCAACAGAACGACTGGATACCGTGTAAATACGTTATGTAAAATTAGTTAGTTTACAATTTTTAAAAAAAGTAGGCAAAACTTTTCAATTTACTATAAATAAGTAAGCATTATTTTCAATCTTACGGTAAATTTGTTTAATTTCAAAAGAAAAACCTCATATTTTGTGGTTTATCAATGAATTACACATATTATGGGAGCGCTAAAATCTGTTAAGTGCTTAGGGTCTCTATAGGTCTTAATCTCCGGCCCTGTACACGAAGAATCACACAGCACACCACATATTTACATTCATACACATAAGGGGAGATAAATCCATTTTATTTGTGGATTTATTTGAATGTGGATGTGGATAGTGTTCAGTCTAGGAGATTAGGGACTAGGGGTAACTAGGCTGGGGGTTGGGGGAAGGAAATGAAATATTCTGCTCCGACTGGGCTAATGAAGATGGGCATACAGTGTGCTATGAGGGAAATTTTGCCTGGACAGCGGCGTTAGGACATACTCTTATATCAAATTCCAACGGAAAGGAATCTTTTACGTGCATGTCAATCAATGTGTACACGGGGCCTCAGTTTTTTGTCCCACATGAATGACTAGACAGCTGTCCTTGTCAGACCCTCCGCTCTATACCACAAACATGGGGAAACCATGCAGAAAAATCCTGATGAACTTTCTCAGCCAACACCGTGAACGACTAGGCTAGCGAGCAAGTGTCTTACTCATTTAGCCACCGTGGCTCTAGGAGGGGTAGGACTTGGAAAAGGAGGGGTTAGGCTAGATGGGTCTGCTAGATGTGAGAAAGAATGGCCTGTATTCAACTAACTTGACAGGACTGTTTAGTAAATGGAAATACTTTTGTTCAGAATGCGTTGCCAGTAAGTAAACAGGTCCCATCTGAAACGCAGTCCAAATTAAAGTACTTTCATTGAGAACAGTTTTATCAAGTTAGTTGTGTGAAATAATCCTTTGTTGCAAGTTTATAATCTGCAAACTTCCCAGTTCAATATCTTTACCGCACCAGTACTAAAAGATCGTAATACACTCATTGACCTTCACCAATTAAAGATATTTTTATTGATAATTCACCGTCTATTTTAACAAAACTTCAATCAGGGGTTGTGTCTTTTGTAATACCTGATATACCTTGATGTACATCCATAAAGTTGCACTACTTTGTTTCACGGTAAACGATGAAAAGATAAGTGGTATGCCAACACAAACTGATTTCAACACTGGTTTAATAACATTTTATAGGACCTATTAGCTCATCTGGGTAGCTCATCAGAAATAGGGTCAGTTAGTTTAAAAACATAAGCTTCTTTAAATGTGTGAGAGAGCCATGGAGCCTCAGTGGATATGGCGCTGGGCTTCCCCTTGTCAGTGATGCAGGAATGAGAGCCAGGCAAGAACAGTGTCTAGCTGTTTGGATGGGACAGAAAACTGAAGTCCCTTGTACACATTGGTGTGAATGTATAAGAACCCTTGACAGTTGGAATTTAATAGGCCGCGATCCGGGCAAAATTTCTCTCATTGCACAATTTATTGCGTATGCCTGTCTTGATTAGCGCAGTTGGGGTAGAACAGTAGGACGTTAAATTTCATTTCATTTGATTTAACCCATAACATTTCATTTGATTTGGAGATGTAAAGAATAAAATATTTATTTGTGAAAACTATATACATTTAATGAATATACTAATATTATAAAAACTGTGCATTATATTATATTTCCTAGACTATGTTACATATATATGCACAACTACAATATAGGCTATTCATATTAAAATCAAATGTTGTTAATAAAAAGATGACCCACCCTCCACATTGATATCCATTTATATAATTATATAAATGTGCCCCCCACTCTATCCACCCACCATATCCCTCGTCCTCTGACTCCCACCCCCCTCTCCCGGGTTTTTTTGCATGTGTCTATTAAATATTTACTTGAATATATCGATATTACTAGACTAAATAGTACAAAAACTACTCATCTTGTACTACCCATCTTGTAGAGAATAATATAGGTTAGAGTGTGGGTTGGATAGCCGAATGGACAAATGCATGCACTTTAGATCATAATTTCTGTCACTAAGTCAAGTGGCCTGGTTTTGATTCCAAAGCTTTTATGTGACAAGTTGTAGGGTCGCCTGTTGAACTAAGTTAGTTTTCTCCCACTGCTAAAGATACTTATGTGCAAGTGCAAACGAAGTATTGAAATATATTGGACCTGGTTTGTGTTGAGGGGAAGTTAAACCCCATTTCTCTCTATATTTATATATTATGCAGGTTAGAGTTCATGGAAGATTGTTTGAAATTGTTCAAGAAAATTAACTTAAATGGAAATTCAAACTTATCACTCCAGCTTTATAAAGCTAGTCACAGATATCATGCATGGGGGAGGGTAAACTTAGTTTGTTTGGAACATTTGATACCAATTCCCTTTTGAGGAGAACACATAGCTACGTAGCTACTACTTTGAGGAGAACACATATGTACTACTTTGAGGAGAACACTTAAATAACCGATTTGTATATTGTCCTTGCCTTATTCACTAATTTGAGAAGTTTGTATTTGAGGAATGCACGTATATAGTTAACCGATTGTTATGTTTATATTCTACTTGCTTAGTTTACAAATTTGAGGAGTTCACATAGCTGTTATACATGTACCTATACATGTATCTATTTTATCGACCGATTATCTAATTTGAAATTATAAACATATCAAAAAGTCTACTATCAGAACATAAAAAGTTTTAATTTATAAATGTGTATTGCTGTCATCTTTTTTGTTATCCTCGTTAACCACAATTTCCACGTGTTTGGCATGTGCTACTGGAGAAGATTTCCCGTTCATAGTATCGGGCTTCTTAATCTCATCAATCTCTATTGCTGGGTTGTCGTAGGCCGAATCCTCAATACCTTTGTTGAAATCCATGTCGGCTATGTACTTACTGTCTCGGCCAACCAAAACAGGATGTCGTTCAAACATATAGCATATGCCTAACATCAACACAAACACAATGGCCGC